AGACAATGATGAGGGCGACAACGACGATGATGATGACGACGACGACGGCTGCGACGACGATGACGATGACGACGAGGCGACTGCGGTCGAGACTGCCGTTGCGGTCGCGACAGCGGCGACGATAGCGGTGGCGACGACGATGACGGCGATGATGACGAGCGGCGCGCCGATATCAGCCCGAGAGAGACTGGAGGAGCGTATTTACCGAGCTGCGAGCGAAAACCAGACAGTTACAGCAATGGCAGCTGCGTGCAGCTCCGGCGCGCTGCTGCCGGATTTTTGACAACACTGTGTGGGCCTGGTGGGAGGTGGGCGCCGGATACGGGGGAGGGGAAGGGGGAGGGAGAGACAGAAAGAGAGAGAGAGAGAAAAGCGAAGGAAAGAGACGGAGAAAAAGGGGAAAAAAGAGAGAGAGAGAGAGAGAGAGAGAGAGAGAACACAAAGAAAACCGTCGTGAACGGCGGACGCGCAGTACGCGCACGATGACCGCGGGATCGCTCGTTCACTCGCTCGCACACACTCGCCCGTTCGTCCGAGCGACAGATCCTTGGCTGAAGCGAGAGAACGCGGACCTGGCGAACGCACGCACGCACGAACTGACCGACCGAACGAGTAACCGACGGCCAACCACGGCGGATACGCTCGCGAAAAAGACCGAGAAAGAAAGGAAAGATGAAACAAGCGAGAACTGCGTGTGCACGTCGGACAAGAAAGGAGAGAGGGAGCGGGAGAAAGAAAGGCAAGATCGTGTACGAGAAAAGGACGGAAAACGACGGAACAAGCGAGCGAGCGAAATAGAGAGGGAGAGAGAGAGAGAGAAGAGGAGCAAAATTCGTAAGGCTTAAGATTTCGCTACCAACGGGGATTCGCAGGTCGCGTGGCGAGCTCGAGATCTCGTTACCTCGCCCTTTGATGGACGCTTCTCGACGCCGAGGACCGTTTTGCGACCAACCGTCTTTCTCTCTCCGCCTGCGCCTCCCTCTTCTCTCTCTTTCTCTCTTTTTTTCTTCTGTCTCTTGGTATCACACTCACGTTGTGCTCCGTCTCGCAGATCTCTCCCGCCTTCTTCCTCACACGGTCATTTCGTTAAAACTAGGGCTTAAAATACACTATTCACAGGTATGTACAGCCACGCGAGCCAGACACACGACGTGCGTCCACCGGCGTACGCGTGTTTCGCGCGCAAGGATGCTGCGTGCGCGATTTTCGCGGTGGGACTGGTGGGAGTGGGAGGGTGGCGTCGACGCGGCGTAACGAGGCGTGGAGGGGAATGGGAGAAAGAAGACGGCTATGTGTCATGCTGTCTCGCTTTAGCCTAGTAATAACGTGCGTCTCCGTCTCGGAGGTGCGATTTCTAGCCCCCCTTCTCTCCCCCTCTTTGTCCTGTCTCTTGTGTTAAAGTTAAAGCGAAGAATCGAGGTCTTTTTTGCGTTCGGAATCCTCTCACGTCAATTTACCACGATTAAACGTCTCGCTTTTGCGCGTCGACATAGCGCTCGGCGAGATAAATCGTATAAAATTGCGTTGTGCCCGTACCAGAGAGAAGACCGTACTCAGTCTCCCTCCATAGCCGTGATAAAAATTCAATTTTTATGCTAAAACGCGACAGAGGCGGATCATATGGCGCCACCGGGAGACGTGAAAAGAAGGAGAAAATGGCCGCACGCGCGCGAAACTTTCGAACGTTGATCTTCCTGCGTCGATCATGCGTAGTCAACGTTATGCCCGTATCAGACTACGGATTGGGATTGAGATTGAATTGAAATTTGACTAATCAGAGCAAAGTTTACTAAACTTGAGGTCAGTTTTCTCTGTTCTGATTGATTAAATTTCAATCCAATCTCAATCCCAATCCGTAGTCTGATATGGGCTTTATGCTAAGACTCCATAGACGCGGAAACGCCGTGCGGTAGAGTGCATTGACCAATCAGAAGGCTGCCGCAAGTCGCCTGCGGCAAAATCAAAATTTGTGATTGGTCAACGCACTCTGCCGCATGGCGTTTCCGCGTCTATGGAGTCTTAGCATTAGAACGATCTAGGTTTGTTCTTTTTAACTGACTAGCCAGAGAGAGAGAGAGAGAGAGAGCGCCTTGTGTCCGCGATGCTAGAACTGTGTCCGAGTTTCGGTTTAAGCCAATGAAACTGCTACTTTTCTGTAAGAGCTGCAAGTTGATTGGCTTAAACCAAAACTCAGACGCAGTTCTAGCATTGTAGACACAAGGCTTTAGTAGAGAAACGCAAACTTGTTTCTCCTTCTGATTGGTCGGTTATAGACCAATGAGGTTCTTCACTAATTTTTGCTCCCGCACAGGGGAACCACTGTGTCTGATAGCTAACAGCACAAATTTCAAAGCAGCGAAAGAATAAAAAAGAATTGTGATAATAATGAGTGGCGAAAAATACGCAAAGTGGTCTGTGGAAAAATTAAAAAAAGAGCTCCGTTCTCGGGGAGCAAAAGTAACGGGGAAAAAGAAGGATTTACAAGATCGGTAAAATAGATCGTCAATATAGGTTATTATGTCTAATATACTCTTTACCCGGCGAACCAAATTATAACAGAGTTATTTCCGTTAATGAATGCGAACAAACATTATCGATTGACATACAGTTATAATATTTATGCAACACGTGCATGGAAAGTGCCCCATTACGCACGCTACGCGTGCGTGATAGACCACTTTCCAGGCACTTGCAACATAAAATAGGGAGTGTAAGCCGTGTGTAAAGATAAAAATTCCCGGGTGCGGTTACCGCACTCGCCTTCGGCTCGTGCGTAAACTCCGCACCCGGGAATTTTCATCTTACCTCACTTGTTACACAAATAACTATTTTATTACAATACTGATTTTTCCCATATGTTAACAATTGGTGTTTGAAACTCGCGCGGAATACTACCAATTTTGATATGGTGCTGCACTCTATGCTAGCTTTCACTGAAGAACCTCATAGACAGCAAGGCATACGATCAAAGTGGGAATCACAGACTTCTATATTGTTCCTACTTCTGATTGGTTGGTTACAGCCGGTTATGTTAGGCCCGCATTATACAACTGTTGACAGTGTTGACTAAAGTTTATAAATGCATATTATTATTTCTTGTGATCAAGGTAAGTAGAAATATCTTTTCTGTGTTGTTAAATAACTGCAGAGGACTTTACTAACATTGTGGGTTGCTTTTGTGCCCTGCACACATATATGCAACTTAATCTTTTCATCCGTGTCGGATTCTCATTATAATTCGTTAATCTGATCTATTTCAGATGAGGCACTGTTCAGTTAGTGGCTGTAATGTAAAGGAAAAGCAAGGCCTTATATTGTTTCAATTTCCGAAAGAACCAAAAAGGCGTGCAAAATGGATTTCATTAGTGAACCGTCCAAATTGGCAACCTTATACAAATTGATAAACTGTTATCACTAATGTAAATTTACATAAGATAAAGAATATATTGTTACGCCCGCGCTGAGACGGCCCTTGATCCGAGCTGAAGCGAGCGGTTATTCCCGTGAAGTTGGAAGCATGCTTACACTGAGAAAAAAAATCGTAGATTCAAAGAAATATTATTTGATTCAACTAAATGCAGCGGTCACGGGCTGTCAAGCTAACATTTGTTAATTCAAAAAATATTATATTTAAATAGATTCAAAATTTCTTGATATTACTCACGTATATTTGATTTAAATATATTAATATTTGCATTAAACAAATCACTACAACTAAACGAGTTTAGTCAAATTTACAACATTTTTTTCTCAGTGTAGCAACGCGGGGATTATTGATTTAACTTGGTCTTGGAGAACTGTTCTTGGGTGTTGACACTTTTGTATTGAGCAGCTGTAAATATACGTGAGTCTGGTTTTCGTAACCTCCGTGTTATTATTGCGTGAGTGTCGAGTAAGTGCTAGAGTGCCGTGCTGTGTCGCGAAAGTGCGGAAGCTTATCGCTTCGCGTGTGTAACAATATTGTAAAAATAATAATTTATTTCAAAATTAGAACAATTATACAATTTTATATATATAGTGATTTGCATTAATATTCGGACATTTAACAAAAAATATTTTTTATAAATTACATTTACATATGAATTAAATTACTATAACTTCAATAGTTCAATATTTTGTAGGATATCATTTTGTGCTTCAACTTACTAAAAAAACATTTTTCAAATAAATATACGGATTAATATTTTTCATAGAAATACGTGTAAAATCAGTGAAAATTAAAATCGTCTCAGATAGCACGGAGAATTGAAAAAGAATTCTTTTTAAAAACCCGATTTTTAGAATGTATTCTTTTCCCATATATCATTTCTGTTCTAAAAGAATTCTTAAGAGTTCAAAAGGAGTTCTTTCCTACGTCACCAGTTCTGAGTTCTTCTTCAGATACAAAAAAAATCACTTTTCTACTCCATAAGAATTCGTAATGTATTCGAAATTATGTTTAGACAGTATTCTAATAGAGCTCTATCTAAGCACTATTTCGAATGCATTGCGATTTCTCATAGAATAGAAAAATAATTCCTTTGTATTTGAAGGATAAGAAAAAATCTTTCATAATCTATCCAAAAACAGTTTCTACATTAGAAAGAACATAAAATGTACTAACCCATTTTATGTTCCTTCTGATGCAGAAACTGTTTTCGGATAGATTATGAAGGATTCTTCTTATCCGATGTTACCGACAGAATATTAGGATTATAAACACTGAAATTAGGAATATAAATATAGGAAATATAAAATAGAAGTATCCATGATTCAGGTATATCGATTAATGATTATATTACTAAATTGGTATACAAATTTGAAATATTGTAAGTATCATATTGTTATAACAAACGATTCGTATAATATGAGCGACATATTTATCGTACATACAGACATGCGTAAAATAAAATTTTATATGCAAAATAATCAATGTATAATATGATATTATGAAAATATAAAAGTGTCCCGAAAGAGTGATCGAGTAACGATTCGAAATTCTACAAACATATTGTTACTTCGCAGAAGCAGCGACGATCGTTGTATTTCGGAATTCGGACGCACTTTCGCGCGTCCCGTTAATGCTTCATCGGATGAGAGTCTTTAGCGATTGGAAGAAAAACATAAAAATAGAATATAATTATACGAATAGCGGTGAGCAACGCATGAGCTTTTTTGCCGGGGCAACAAGGCGAGTTTTGGAAAATCGATCGTGTTTAATTAGATAATTTATGTCCCGAGCGTCCAGCACATTTACACGCGATTACATTGTAACGTTTATAACACGAAAGCGGGCTTGAGTTCCGTCGAGCGGCCGATGCAAAATAATTAATGTATAATAAAACAAAATAAAATTAAGTTTTCTTTCATCTTAAATCAAAATTAAACTCATTTTCATACCGTTACAAATAATACGTACATCCCCAAGTAGAACAACTTAATCACAAAACCGTCAAGATGACATTAAAATGATGAATTTTTTGTCATCATATGGTCAACGTCAAGAATCAGTTTGAAATGACTGGCTTGTGATATGCTGTTTTATGAGACTCGCGATATATGTAACAGTATATATTGTTACAAATTGCATGATCAGTCATAATTTTCTTCAGTTCTCATAACATATTTCGAGTATGCTCTTAAATAGAAAAGATCAAATAAAAGTCAACGAACAGATCAAATAAAAGTCAAAGAGAAGTATTATAGTGTAAGTTAGTGCAGAAAGTGCAGCGAAAAAGAACAGATCACGGAGCGCAGACATCGCGCGATCGCGAGCACCGCGCGCGGGAACGTACTCGTGCGATTTTTTCCCTCCATTTTGCATCATCCGTCGTGTCTCGTCGCGAGAATTTTATAGTCCTTATAATTATATCCGTACATGTATGTGTCGGCGTCATTCTATCATTACGTGTAATGTTAACATTTTATTCAGTGTGTACATATATATGTGCTTGAAATTTTCTTCTTTTCTTTGAGAAAACTGTAAGTTTTATATCCCTAACCTATAACAACATTGATACATGTGGACATTGGTGATTCAATATGACTGATAGACCGGTAAGTAGAGTTAATTCTTGCAAATATGATAGGTTGCATGTAGTACTTTTTACGAATACTGACAATGATTGCATGTAATAGATACTTAAAAAAAATAGTGCTTTTACTTTTGATATTTTACGCCTTACTCAAGCATTCAAATTTTATATTAATACAACTAGTTATATTAGTGCAATCCTTTATTAAAGCTATGTTGAACGTTAGTGTATTTATAATTGCATATAAATATTGTCACAGAGTAAACGGCGTAGAGCAAGGCATGCTAAACGAGAAGTAACGCAAAGGATGAAAGTGGTTAAATTAGGATTTCAAGTTAATGCAGGAATTCTTATGGATGATGATTTGCAGTTGCTTGACGACTTTTCACATTTGAGCAGAAGTAATAGTGACAGTAGTAGTATAAATACAGCCAGTGGTGATATTATTCGATATGACAACACAAATGGCAATAATTTTTACAGTGTTAACACAGATAACTGTAATACAGTTGATAATAATATGAACAATGATGAGCTCGATCCTAATATTGATAACACTCACAGTACCGATGATAGCAATGAAGTCTTAAGTACTTTGAGTGAAATTTTTGAAATAAATCCTAATAATATAGATCACTTTCTACAGAATGATATTGAAAAGGAAATGTATTTGTTAACAAATTTAAGAGAATGGGCAATGAAAGGTGTAAGCTTTGTCAAAGTAGATAATCTTTTGAAAATACTTAGAACCTTATTTCCCAATCTGCCTAAGAGCTGTAAAAGTCTTTTGCATACACCTCGTAAAACAGTTACTGTTGCTCTTGGAAATGGACAATTTTTTTACAAAGGTATCAAAAAATATTGATGAAAGACTTTTAGAACAGTATTTCGTAGATCATCAAGAGATAATAATTGATGTAAACATAGATGGATTGGATCCATTTGAAAGTACAAATGATTGTTTTTGGCCAATAATTGGCTGCTTTGAAGATGATCCTCAGCCATTTATAATTGCTGTCTATTTTGGAAAAGGAAAGCCTTGCGATATGGAAACATTTTTAGGACAATATGTAGAAGAAGTAAAAGAATTACAGGAGCAAGGTGTTGAAATATTTAAACATATTTATCCTTTTCGAGTCCGTAATTATGTGCTTGATGCCCCGGCAAGATCATTAATTAAATGTATAATTGGTCATAATGGTCGCTTTGCATGTGAGAAATGTAAAGTTAAAGGAGAATACTATCTGTCAAGACAAATCTTTTTAAATTTGGATGCTGAGTTAAGAACGGATGAGTCATTTCGTACTCGATCAAATATTTTTCATCATACTGGTAATTCACCTTTGGAAAGAATTCCTACTGGAATGGTTTCACAATTTAGGTTGGATGCCTTACACTTAGTTTGGGCAGGTGTTTGGAAAAGGTGGCTTACTTTTGTCTTGGGTTTAAAGAACAGACGTGGTATTGCATCAGATGCTGACGTACAAGAAATAAACAATAAAATATTACAGTTGACACCGTACATTCCTAAGATCTTTAATCGAAGACCACGAACATTTAAATATTTTGCAAAATTTAAAAGTACAGAGTTCAGACGTATGCTGCTTTATGATGGATTAATTGTGTTTAAACACTTAGACAAGAAATTGTGGAAAAGCTATATTCTCTTGCAATCATCAATTTATATGTTGGCAAGACCTGATTTAGTACAACATATGACACCTGCAGCTGATGTAATAATCCGCCAATTTATAAAACATGCCATTAAAGTATTTGGAAAACAGTTTGTGGTATATAATGTGCACAGCTTATGCCATTTGTCAGAGGAATGTCGTTTGCACGGTGCTATTGATTCTTTCAGCGCATTTAAGTATGAGAATTTTTTTATGACAATAAAGAATTGTTTGCGTTCAACTTATAAACCTCTTGAGCAACTGGTTAATAGGGATTTTGAGACCAAAGGTCGTCTAACATCGAAAATATTCCAGCCAGATGATCGGACAGTAAAGTTAAATGGCTTATGCGAAAATATAGTGGATAATATAGAAGGTGACATGTACTCTTCCATTGAGATTGATGGAATTTGTTTAAATACTAATCTAGCTGATCGATGTTTTCTTACCAAATGCAATACAGTAGTACTGCTAAGAAATATCATTCATACATTCGAAGGCAGGATAAAATTAAACGGTCAGAAATTTTGCACTATGACTGACTATTACACTTATCCATGTAATTCTTCACAATTGGGTATCTGGAAAGTGAGCTCATTAGATCTTCAAGTTTATGCTTGGAATATTTCACAATTTGCTGCGAAATGTGTTTTATTACCTTTGGGAAATGAAGAATTTCTTACAGTTCCTCTTATACATAGTCATAACTGACTTTATAAGTAAATAATATAGTGTAAATATATAGAATATTTACATATCTATTTTATTATTAATATTGTTTAAATATGGTTAGTGCGAGTTTTGTATTATTTAACAATCTACCATTTTATTTTGCCTATTGAAAATTTGTATCTGTTTCAGTATGCAGTTGTTACTTTTCTTCCAAATGATAAGGATACTGAACCAACAAGTGACGTTGTACCCACTTGTTGGCTACTTGCTAAGAATACAAAGGCTTACTGGCCTAATTTTCCTAAACGTGGGACTACAGATAAACGATCAAAATTAATATTAAGTTTAGCTGAACCGGATAAAAGCTGGCCTACATACGATGTTAAATTTTGTCACGGCTATGGTAAATGTTTATATTACATTCATTTATATACATTTTTTAAGATTAGTAATTATCATTTTTAATGCAAAATTTTTTTAGACACGTACAATAAGGCACGAAAGGCAGCTAATCTTCAAAATGATGAAGATCGAACAGTAGGGACAGAAATTAGTGATATAGACCAGCCCAGAAAAAGAAAGCAAAATCCGAAATATAATGTCACAGAGTCATCCGAATCCGAAGATAAATGTAATACTCACACTGTTAAGAAGAGCAGGAAAAATAAATTGAGAGATCAGTCTAGCGATAGTGAAAATGAAGAAATGGAAGAAAAAGCTGTTCGGGCAAAAGTTGCAGCATTACTAGCCAAGAGAAATAATGTAAAACCGCAAGTATCTCAAAACAAGGCTAACAAGGAGGTTTCCATGGTTACCAAATCCAAAAAATTAATTAAAACACTCGATTTAGAACAGAACCGTTCTGTTGGTTTAAATGATACTATAGGAAGTGACCCACGTTCTAAAAAAACATATAATCTGACAGATGTTTCGCATGCAACAACAGAAGCAATAACCCCTAGTACCCCTGCTTCGTCTCCTCTGCACTTTCACCGACAATATGATGATAGAATGAATATAGATAGAATGAAAGAACAACTTTTGTTAGGTAAATAATTTTCTAAGCTTTAAATTAGTCAGTACAAGAAAGTATTGACTGCTACATTAATTTATTTTTTGTATACGTCTGTAGGAAATGATTCTCAACAGTCAGAATTTGTTTTACCATCCAGTCCAGAAATTATACAAGAAGAAAGTAGAGAAGAAATTAATGCTGCAACAGATAATAAATATGGGAGCATAAATATCTCGCAGAAATTAAGTCAGTCTTCTGACTTAAGTGATGAACAGAGAAAAATAATTACTTCTGTCACAGATCAACCTACAGGTAAATATAATTGTACAGGATGTTTCTAAACAATAACATTTACAGATTGTTAGAAGATAACTAAGCAAGTTTCTCAAATACATACTCTCCGAAACTCTCGTGTTTCACTACTGAAAAGCAAAAAAGTTATATTAGCAGCAGTTTTTTGATAAGTAGTCTTAAGCTATAACAGATTTTTAAACATTTTATGTATTTTTTTCATGAGATTATTCTTGATATAACAAACATCTTTTATATCATTCAGTTCTTTGAAAAATAAGTGGTTGAAACAAAGCTTTATAACACATCTGGCAATGCTATGCACATACATTTATACTACAGCTATTTATTTATTTCATCAATAGTATAATTTTATTTATATGCTGTCTATAACTTGAGATAAAAAATATAAGTTAGACATGAATAAAAAATATTACTTACAAAAGGAGTTATTACTCTTTTCAAATTAAACACATTTTCTATAATTCAATCAGTAATTGTATATTTATTATTTCTGTACAAGTAATCTTATTTTTGATATTTTATGTATTTACACTCAGGTGTTAAAGCTGTATCCAGTGGAAAGCATTCCAAAGAAAATAGATCTTATGATGCAAACTGTAAAAATTTACTTACAAAATCGGTTTCTCCTTTTTCCAGTAAGCACCAATCATCAAGTAAGCATTTATATATAAGATTCCGTCCAACAAAAAATCGATCACAGAGATTGGACGAAAACTCATATGTTTTGCGCAGGTGTCTGTCTATAGTACGTCTAGAAAGCCCTTCTCCACAGCGAACGTGCCATATTTACGTATATGGTATTTAGTAGCGCGACACGCTCTCCCTACTTTACTTTGCCTATATTCAAAACGTGATCGATCTTTCGTTGGATTGAGAATATTTTTTACATTACATTAATAATTTGTTTGCATTAATTAGGTGATAACACTGATGCTGCCAAAAATAATTAAGACAGAGTTACTTCAAGAAATAAGTAGTAAACTTGATTTTGTAATGATGAACACAACAAAAATACTTACCTACTTAGCACCAGAAGAAAGTCTTCTTTTAAGACCAGATAACCTTCCAGCGCTTCCTCTGAAGTCAGTTGATGAATATGATAAGTTTGAAGAGTTTTTAAATGATGGCACGAATTTCTCAACAGTGGTACGTTTGAACTAAATAGAATTATTTTTTACATTTATGATTTTGTTCTTTGTACTAAAATATGTGATATTTAGGTACAATATTTTGCGGGCCGTATGGTTAGTCAAGGTAGTGACTGGCAAAGTGCTGTATACCTAGTATCGAAACTGCTAATAAGTAACAAATTAGCAAGAGCAATAAGTTGGATAGGTACCAAAGACACCAAGATCGCACTAGCAAACAGTAAAATTATGGATGCTGTTTCTTGTGAGTACAATTCTATATAAATTACCGTCTTTTACTAAAATATAGTAGATAAGAAATGAATAATAAGTTAAAATTGTAGGCGCTGTTCTGAAAAACCATCCCAAAAGTGACTTAAAACTAGTAAAGTTAAAAATACAAAGATGGCTTTATACGGGAAACCAAAGAAAAATTTAATTATTTTTTCAAATTTTTCTAGTCATGGGAGAATTACTTTGTGATATTTAATGTTAAGGCTCCTAGGTTTCTCCCGTCATTATGTGAGATCGTGACGTCAGAGGCTAGAAATGACACGCTGAGAATTCGATCTTGCGTGCCATTTCCAAATAAAAAGATATTTGCGTAAAATAACATTTTAGATCATTTTAGCACATTTCAAAAATACCCTGAAAACTATTCCATTCCCTTGACAGTTAATAAACAGCCGTAAAATAAATATAATACAAAGCCTAGTTATGCGACTGCGTCTATATAAGCCTACATTCATATTACATTCTTTTATTTACTCCTATTTATTAATTGTCAAAGAAAAAAAATATTTTTGAAGTATTATTGAAGTATGCTGAAGTGATCTGAAGTGTTATTTTATGCAAATATCTTTTTATTTGGAAATGCACTGAAGAATTCTTAGCGTGTGCAGATTTCTCGTCTCTGACGTCACGATCTCAATGATGACGGAAAAAGACCCGAGGCCAATCAACGAGAATTTTATTTTTTTTTTTATTTTTAATGTGATAAAACCATGACAAAAAACTTTTATTTTGACTGTGAAATAATACCATGCAATAATACCGTGCAATAATAAAATGTATAAATACATTAATTTTTGTTCAGGTATTAGATAAGTTCTAAAAGTTATTTTGTGTTATATGTATAGATTATACTCATTAATGCTTTCCTAATAGCTGTGTTCTGGAGATTTCTATAGTGCACGTTACATGTACTATTGCCTTCAGGTGGAAGGCATTAATGACGCCGTCTGTACATTTTAGTACACGTATTTAGTACATTTAATTGTTCTTAAAATCTTCAATAATTACCAAAGATTATTTTGTTTTATGTTTTATGTTTTTTTATCAAATTGTATTAAGCCGAAATGCACCAATGTCGCATAACCTCAGTTCAACTCAATTTTCGTCTCTTTCTAAGGGGAACAGTTAGTCTAACTGTTTTCCTTAGAAACAGACGAAGAGTAAAGTGAATTAAGCTAAGGTTAAAGTTATGCGACGTTGATGCAACCATGCCTTAGTATTTAATTTTTCTTAAGGTTTAGAATAGCTTCGTCTCTGTAAGACATATTTTTATATAATAAAGAAGTCTCACATGTAATTATATATTCCTTACATGTTGTTCTCTATTATGCTTATTTAATATTACTCCAATCCACACTTCTAATGTATAACATCAATTATACCTGCTTTGTAAAAAAAGGTCATTTTTACGTCACCTTGATGTCAAGATGATGTCAAGATTATATGCTCCTAACGGGCCATTTTGACGTCACGATGACGCGTAAAAAATGATTACAAAATGATGTCATTTTGACATTTTCGTGACTGATTTGTTCTACTTGCATCGCTTGTACAAATCGAGCGAGATAAAAGTTGAAAATAGCGCCAAAAATGTGTTTCCTGAATCTACCTATAATATAATCTAGGTCTTTTTTTTTATCCGGTCACTAGCGTGCTGCAGCCACTTCTTAACAAATATCCCAATGTCGTTCTTAGGAACGTTCTTCATTTTCGAGATGGTTTCTGCAACATAATGTTTTGTAAGTATAGGTATATAGATATTGTAAAAGTTAAACATTAATATTTGGTAATCTAAAAACTGAAGAAGAAAATGTTGCTTATTAACTCACCGACAATGAGTTGAGAAATTCGAGTAGTTTGAAATTTTAATGTGTTTCTTTGACCGGACCAAGAATACTTTATTGCTAGCTGATTCGACATTAAGAAGCGCAATGTGGCTCTGGTGAATTTGCCTGCATCAGATCCTCCGATCATTTTTATCTCATTAATCTGCAAAAATAAAGGCAAATATATCATTACGATTTGAGCATTTGTATTGTAAAGAAAAGTATGACAATTAAATAATCTCTTACGTAGAATTTTTGTACTTTCAAGGACTCGACAAGATTTCGTTCAAATTCTTCGAATTCTTCAACAGTTTGCAAAGGAAAGTTAACGGTTGTCGATTTTGCATTTACTGGAGAGAGTTCACATTTATTCGAATTTGTAGACTGATAATTAGATGGTGGTAACACGAACGAGTTTACAGTACCATCTCTTTTACATATCTCTTCGGTTACTGCAAAATATATTATATTTAGTTACGTATATTTATGTTGCTATTTTTTTAAATAAATTTCATCGGAAATTTACTTTACATTACCTTCTTCTTCTTCTTCCTCCTCCTCCTCTTCCTTTTCTTCCTCTTCTTCTACTTCTTCTTCTACTTCTTCTTCCGACGCCAACGTTTTGTTCCGAAGCCATGCTGGCTTTCTCCTATTTCGTATCTTTTGTGCCTCAGATGCCTTATTAATAGCTTTGTCACACGTCATCAGTATCTTCATTTGTAGATACGTTCATACAATGCTCTTCTACTTGATTAGCTAATTGAAAAGACTCTGCAAAAAGTGTTAGTTATTTTCATTTGTGTACAGTAAGTTAATATTTTCTAAATATTTAACATTCTTGAGAAAAACGCACCAAAAGGTCCCAAACGTTTACGGCATTCGTATATAAGCCAGTCATCTTTTGGATGTAGATAATGCATTTTGTTTTTATTAAATTTGACCTGTTTTGGAGGCCAAAAAACTTTGTTTGATTCTAAATCTATCCAATTTTCTGGTACGAGATTACAAAAGTCGTCAAAAAATACTACAAAGTCTGCATCTGCAAAGTATGATTCCACATCACCTCATATCAATCTTGTAAAAGAGGCATGGCGTAAGTAATGTTCTCGATTGTCATTAAAAATCCTTTACGATCAATGCATTGTACAGGCTACATTTGTAAAGGTGACAGATTTTCAACTTTGTATATATTCATGTTACTTGAGGGACACGGATAATGTAAAATATCAGATCTGTTTAGAAATTTATTACCAAGAACAACAATCTTATTTTCCATTAATCCAATGTGCTTAATCATCACGATAGTTGCATCAGTCAGGAAGCAACAGTTGTCTGGTCTTTTATTTGATAATTCAAACATGCGGATTTGTAGAATTCGGTGCTCGCTGTGGCAACCCAAAGGAAGTTCTGACACAATTGGCTTCTTGAGTATAGGATGCTTCAAAATCTTCTGATTCTTCTTATATTGAGGATGTTGATCGTAACTGTACTTTTCGATTAGTCGTCGATGAATTTGTTGCAAAAGATTAGCGTGTTTTCGTATCATTCGCTTCAACACTTGCATATGATTTTCAAAATCAAAAGTACTGTATGAATCTAATGGACCGTACATCTTTACATCTTCATTTAAATGAATAAGAGAGTGAATGTTACTCACAACATATTGCTCCCCATACAACGTCTTAAATTGCTGTACAAAATAAATCAGCAATTCTTTAGCATAAGCGTTGTTTCTGTAGCAATTTCGGGGATCGCACAATATCCGTATAGCACAATTGAGACTGTTAAAATGAATTAAATATTCTTCATGAAGAAAATGTTGCAAAATAATCTTCGAATCCTTCGAGTTCTCACAATCAGAACAATATAAGGTTTTACCTGTGGCAACGTATAGGCGTGACGAGCCAGCTCGAATCCTTCGAGTTCTCACAATCAGAACAATAGGTTTACCTTTGGCAATGTATAGGCGTGACAAGCCAGCTCGAATCCTTCGAGTTCTCACAATCAGAACAATAGGTTAGGTTAAGTTGAATCGTTTATAAAATGTGCGATCTCGAGTAAAAACCTAGTAAAAATCGAAATCAGATGTAAATTTAATCATATCACAACGTGTGTGATGATGAGGTTATCGAGTATTTGCAAGAAATTAATTTAAGAAAATTAATAAAATGCTTTAATTACCTTCAAATTTTCTTCTCGACGACAAAAGTTATTAACGGTCGTGCCAATACGTACGTTGTCAATTACGGCCAACTAATGTAAATATATTACGTCCAAGCGTAATATTCTCCGACGCAGAAGCACGTAGAAGCGCGAAATAGCGAGAAAGCCGCCAGGAAGACCAGGACCCCTATTCTGTAACTCGTAACGACAGTGTCGGTATCGTTACGTTGTCGTTGCGCAGGTATACTATATGGAAAAAAAGCTGCGCAACGACGACATAACGATACCGACACTGTCGTTAGAGTTACAGAATAGGGGTCCAGAGAAGACAAATAGAAACTGATAGAAACGCTGCAATGCTGCCTCGAGACGGCTCGAGAAAGCATTATAGACTGCGCATGCGTATTAAGTGAATTTGTGACCGGACGGAGGTTCGGTGTTACCATCACTCGCTCTTATGCTTGGTTCATACGGTCGCCACTCGGTTTTGATCTATGCCTACCGAGAAAGATTAATGGAATTTACTGACCCTTTCGATGACTTGTACTAATTCCCCTTTTCTGTTTGTTTCAGGTTCTCCTCGTAGACTCTGGATCTCCGCTGGACCGCTCCGTGGACCGTCTCAGGACTGCAGCTGCGCACCACTAACTACGCCTCAGGACCTTCGATGGACCGTCGCGGGATCTCACGCCTCTGATTGGATCGTGGAACGCCGACAGGTAAGTAATAGGAATCAGGTACGGGTCTCTTATCAGGATCGTCGCACACGAAATAAATTTGTAATCTTTGTAGCTGGTAAAATATGTAATATATTTCTTCGTTTCAGATTACAATTAATAATCGCGCACACGAGTTTTTCGAAGTTGCCGTTTACGACTGCGTGTACTTTGGCAAACGTTAGTGTTCATTTCTATGTCGCGACTCCGACAAGTTCTTTTCTTTACGCGCCCGGCGCGGGATCTTCCCGTCTCAATCGTAACTCTACGTCTCCTTATTGCGAGGAGATGGAAATCGTTAGCCGACCGTTCGCTCCGATATCTCGGGAGAGACTCCTCGAATCTTGCACGTCGCTCGACTCCCTCACTCTCTACATTGGTTCCCCACTATCGTTCTGTGATCACGCTATCCACAGATGTGTCTGCAAGATCGTTCGGAACTACGCAGCAACTGACGCAAACAATTTTTTTTTGTGTCGCTTTCACTTTTCGGAACAAAAGCTGTTTTTCGACCTTCAACCACCATTACATTTCTGTGTTCCGGACTTCCCCTTAATCGCATTCTATAAGAAAATTCATGGGGATACGCAATCAACGACATTAGTTTTTTAACTAAACTCAATGTTTTTATTGCTGAAAACCCGCCTTGCTTTTGCTATCAACCAACAAGTGATTTGCAATTGTGTATAAATCTTATACTAGTTTCAGAGTTAACAAACGTAAATGAACAAATTGGCGAGGTATTGATTCAATATATAATCATCAATCTTTATAAGAAGAAAGAACTTTGTTTTAATACGCCTTAGATCAAAACTATACTATCCCAAAATAAATTCACATGATCCCGACTTTAGTTACTTATTGTTAACTAACGCTTACATCTACCTTAATTCTAACGGTCTTTATAATGAAAAATAATCGTACAATATTCCTTATACACAAAATAAATTGATTTCGATCATGTCTCATAACTCGCTATATTCTCTAATAGGACAACATAATACGAAGTAAACTAAACATGATCGGAAGAAACATCAAAATGCCTAGTCGTAATTTTCTTATCTTATAAACGTAAATACCCAACACCATAATATTTGATTCACTTTGGTTAAATCATATTAATATCTAGATTGCCGGATTCGGCATGATGGCTGGCTGAGACTTTTTTTGCATCACTGTCGTGATCTCCAGTCCTGGCTTCCGTACCCTCGTCGTCCACCCGCTCCTCGATGATGCGGCCGTCGTCCAATCTAGTGATGATGACCTTAGGATTAATTTTCCCAACGTCTTTGCGGGCGCCCTTCGTCGGTATGGCAGCTATAGACAGCAGGCGGCTGCAAATTCTCTTCGAACCTATTATGAATAGAAAAAGAATTCCTTTTAAGACCATTTAGATTAATTTCATAAGAAGTCACTTCTATGGAATTCTTTTTGAAGGAATTCTTTTTGAGTTTATTTCGGACAAATTACGGGTATTCTTAAAGAATTTGAAAAGGTGAAGTCTTTTCGAATTCATAACGATCAGCTGTGCTATCTGGGGTTATATCTCAGCAACCGTTTAGTGGATTTGTTTCTACTTTTTTGTAGCAGGAAGACTAAAAAAACATTCTCACAAATTTTTATCCACTTGGTAGCGCTTTGAAAATAGGTCCGATACACCCTTAAAAGGCTCCTGAATACTCGTCGCGGCCATGTTGGAATGTGACATCAGAAGCGAGAAATGACACGTTGAAAATTCTTGCATAGTATTTCCGAATAAAAAGATATTTGCTTAAAATAACACTCCATATCACTTCAGCACACTTCGAAAATACTCCGAGCTGTGGTTAAGTCTACCCCTTTCCCTTGACAGTTAATAAACAGCCGTAAAACGAATGAGATACAATGCAGGCTTGTGCGCAGGCGCATGACTAGACTTCGTATTACATTCATTTTACGGCTGTTTATTAACTGTCAAGGGAAAGGGATAGACTTAACTTCAACTCGGAGTATTTTCGAACTGTGCTAAAGTGATCTGTAGTGTTATTTTAAGCAAATATCTTTTTATTTGGAAATACTACGCAAGAATTTTCAACGTGTCAATTCTCAACATTTCTCGCTTCTAACGTCACATCTCATGAGATGTCGGGAAAGAACCCAGACGCCAATAGTGGAGGATCCTATAGTGGCAGTACTTTTTTATTTTAAGAAATCTTTGAATTGATTTTACAGAATTGCAAGTTTTTGGTCTAGAATTAAAGTACGCACAAAAATCTACGGCGCTATATACGATTTCATATCGGGAACGAAAAAAAATTAAAAATTTTACTAATTGGGGCACATACAGCTGTCATTTGACGACAATAACAAAAATACTGCAGTTTATATATATATAATGACACCTCAGCGCCCTAGGGCAAACGTGTAGGAACAATATCGTGTAAATAGAACTAAGATTCAACGCCTAGAAAAAAATATATTGTAAAAAGAAGGTTTGCATGCAGACTCGCTATGGCGTGTAGCGAGAGATGGCTGCAATCGAAACAAGGACAGATGCCTCTCGTTAGACAAGGGCAGATATAGGCCGGTAATATAGAAAATGATAGAAAACAAATTAGAACAGAATTAAAAATGTTCGTCATTATCAACATCGAGGAAGTTTGGCCTTCACTGTAGGATCCCCTCAAAGGTCGACAGAAGTAATTAAGAGTGGAGACCTCTGTCGGGTTGGCTTAGCTGCGAGTCTGTATTTTATTTAATATAAATTATTTAAGAGCCAAAATGGAAAATCCGGCTCTGTAGCGGGTTGCGGCTGATCTTACTGATTAAAACGAGCATAATTTTAATGAGATTCGTTAATTAATTTGGCTAAAATTTGGGAAAAACCGTTTCAAAGCAGCTAGCAGCTGTATTAGTTCAGAGTCTCGTTCAGAGTTTATCTTTTTCACTCCACGTTGGAAGGAAAAAGATAAACTCTGAACTAGTACAGCCAGTTCAGAGAAAACAGATAGAAAACAGACCTATGACCTGTCAGAGAGTATCGTCTTAGAATATCTCATACAGCATAAAATATTTTTTAGGAAGATTAAAATAATTCACAAAAATATTTTTAGAATATTTCTATGTACGCCAGATCATGTCAGAAAAATATTTAAAAAAATATTATTATAAGATTGCAGATAAATATATTCAATAATATTTGTAAAATATTTTAGAAATATTATTTTATAAAATAAAATATGTTTTACCCAATTATAGCAACAATTGTTTCATGTATGAAAGATTTTTTTAATATCTAAGAAATATACATCTTAATATTTGAAAAATATACATATCTGTGAATGTCATGATTTTACTTCGCCGAAGACCTGCTTATATTAGCCTTCAACTGAAATTTACTTACGAGTTAATCTAACAATTATGCGCCGCCTAGCGGCGTCGTTTCGAACTAGCACGGAAAAATACATTACCATGTATCTTTTTTAATTAAGAATATTTCATAATATTTCAAAAATATTTGAAAAAAGATTATAGAACCAATAATAAATTTAAAATATTTTTAAATATTTTGGAACGAGATTATAAAACAATAAATATGTAGATTTAAATTAATATTTCAAATATTTAAGAAAATATTGTCTGGGTAATAAAGAAAAACATTTTTAAAAATATTTTTAAAAGATTCTTAAAATATTCTTAAAAATGTTACCACAAAAGGTTTTTTAACTATTTTAAAAAATATTCCTAAAACCATTTTAAAATATTTCTTGCAATATTTTTATAGAAATACTCAGAAATATTTTTTGAAAATATTTTGTGCTGTATGGGATGTTCTAAAGGCCTGTGTCTACGATGTCCTAGAACTTGGTCCAAATTTTTGAACCGAGGAAAAGTTACTGTGCTAGTTTACACCGTACCTAAGTTTAATACGAATCAAGCTGGTACGCATCAAACGTTTTAGCCCAGTAAAATGACAAAATTTGGAGGAAATAATACTGACTGGGCTGAAACTTTGTAAACAGGCTTGTTTTAGGGTACTACTTAACATATTAAAAGTCCCCACGTGTAGACGCTACGTTGCGGGCAGGGGAGAGTCCAAAAGGTCCAAAAAATTAGTTTCTCGCAAATAACTCGGAAAATATCAACTTTACGGAAATTTATGTAGATATTAAAATTGTAGCTTACAAAATTTCGCACAATTTCGTTTTTTATTCAAGTCTGTACGACCAAATGGAGCAGAGATAGAATTTTTTTAAACATCGGTAGTTTTGCAACGCAACGAAAACGCGTACGCGCGTCGCGCATTTTTCGCTAATATCTCGAAAATGGACTCTTGAATCGAAAAATGTTTTAAATAAAAGTAGTAGAGAATGTAATTACGAACAATTTCGTTTTTTATTCATTTTTGTACGGTCCAAATTCGCCGAGTTATTAATTAAAAGACAATTTTATTTTATGTTGATAGTGGATGTTTTGCATGTAAAAATCAGTATTAACTCTAAAAGTATAGGTCGTACACATATAGTATATATAATAAAAGTTAACGAGAATAAAATTTTGAACATG